TTTAATTCATATACTTTAACACAGAGTCAACGTCCCTCTGGCTCCGAACATACAATAGATGGAGTCTCGTTATAGAAAGGAATGTAAGGGTATGGATGCATGTCGATCTACACACACACATATGAAATGCATGCATACAATAGTTCATAAATAGTCCTAAAATTTCCTAGAGTTTAACCATTGCACCTTTTGAAAAACAAAACTTATAATAATTTTATATTGAAATGTATTGATATATCCTGCTTAGATTTAGACTAATTTGGTTCATTTTGTATGATGGGATGTTGGGGTTGTATTAATTTTCTAAGAAATGAACGTTTAAATGATGTTGGTACACAAGTATTACTGTAAATTCTTCATTCAAAAACATGGTACATCCTGTTTTATACGCAATCAACAGTATCTTATTATGTGCTCTCTTAAGCATTCCAGTACTCTTAATGCACCTCAAGTTACAAGCAGTATGCAAACTGAAGTTGGTAATAAGCTGTTCACATTCCACACATGATGATAGTGAGTATACAAGAGGAACAACATGTCATACAAGTTTATCAGTTGTATCTCAATAGACCTTTTAACTAATTAGTTCAGTTATATGGACTTTTCTTCCAAGGACCTGAGATGACACGTAATTTCTTTCGCCCAAGGATTTTTAATTTGTGATATCATCTGTAATCATGAATCTACCTTGCTTTCATCATAATTGAAGCCAGTAGGGGGCCTTTACTCATATATGCATTAGCAGAGTGAATGCCCTTCTGGCTTTAAAGAGACAATATATTGAAATGTCAGGAAACTCTCTGGCAAAGATTACTGGTCATTAAGAGCAATTTACAACAAAGAAATATGCATACAAATTAAATGCATCGGCTAATTGCCACTGGTGTTTTGAGAACATTTTGTCCTTCTAGTACACCAAAACAATTGATCAATTGATATTACAAAAGTTTATATGTTGAATCGGTTGCTTCCGGGATTATAAATCAAGAGATTTCTCATAGATTGGCCTTTGTCCTTTACGAACAATTCATAAAGTGTGTTTTGGGGGGTCCTATGTAACATTCCAGTATTTGTAAACTGTGTATTGTTTTCTATTTTATTCCTTATTTCCTTATGTTTTTGTTCTTTTCTGATACTATGAAGGCGCTTGCCAATTCAAAGATTACGTTCCATTTGTGCAGATTTATATAGTTATATGGATTGTCTTTGTGTTTTTCTTTGCTTTTCTTACTTATTCCTGTTACTTTTACATATGTAAAATGAGCACAGTTTCGAGGAAAAAAATCACAGTAATATACAACCAAAAAATATTTTGTGCGAGAGTATATTCATTTGCAGTGTAATTGTAATATAATTATATGGAATATTTGGAAGGAATTAGATGCCTTTAGCGATAGAAAGTATGCGCAGCTCAGCTGGAGATACAGGAAATATTTTTTCATTTCAAAATGCATCTTCATAGAGAAATTCTTACTTGGTGGTGCTTTAATATTTTGTGTCGTTTTATTATTATTGATGATTGTGTACAATTCATTTTATGATGCGACAAGTTTTTGTTAAAATGTATTAAATTGCGTCTTGAAATATGTTCCTAGTTGACTTACATTATGTCAACAGCAGATATAATATTAACAATATAATAAGTAATTTACTTATGACAAATATTACAGACAAAATTGTTACATTGATCATAAAATCTTGAAGTGCTCTTTCGCATCACACAATTAAAAGAGAAGAATATCTTGGCTGTACCACGTACATTTTGAATAGAGTCATTTTTATTAGTTAATTTGTGATTGTATGTGCTGCATGCATGCGCTGTTTGTTATATTGTATTGATTTGTCCACATCATTATGGATTGAATGGATGAAATGATATAAATATATTGCCGATGTCTGCATAATCATTGATTTTCACGGATGGATGAATGGATGGATGGATGGAATATTGATTGAAGGATGGATGGATGTGTGGATGGCTGGATGGATGGATGGATGGATGGGTGGATGGACGGACGGACGGATGGATGGATGGATGGATGGATGGATGGATGGATGGATTAATATTGATGGATGGATGTATGGATTGATGGATGGATGGATGGATGGATGGATGGACGGATGGATGGATGGACGGATGTATGGATGGATGGATTAATTGATGGATGGATGTATGGATTGATGGATGGATGGATTAATATTGATGGATGGATGGATTGATAGATGGATTGATTGATGGGTGGGTGCATGGATGGATGGATGAATAAACAGATGAAGGGAATGGTGGGTTGATAGATAAATGGATGGATGAATGAAACGATGGATGGATGGAGGATGGGTTGATGGACAGATAGGTGGATAAAACGGTAGATGAATGAGTGGATTGAGGGTTGGGAGGGTGCATAATTATGAACGGATGGATGGACAGATGGGTGGGTGAATGGATGGGTCGATATAGACGGATGGATGTTTTCAATGTCTTTGCGATTGTGTAGGATACAGACATTGCATAGGACAATGACCATGACAATAAGGTTCATCACAACAACACCGAGGGTAATAGACCCTCTTAAATATCCACTGTTATCCCTGAACATGAAGAATAACATCGTCTTAATACGACCCCAGTTCTCTCAGTAACACCCAACGTAACTTTTATCATCGAAGATTTCTATTCTCAGTATAACCCGGGGTGGTGTTTGAAGCACCTTTTTTTTTTGCACTACATGTATTTCATTTCATTTGTAGAATACAATCGCTATTCTGAGAATTCTTTATATCAGATTTTAAAAATCAGAAAACATGCCCCCTTTATTCACGTAATGTTAGGGGTATAATTTTGTTTGTGAAAAGAACCCCTCTCATCTACATTACCCATAGGAAAGTAAAAAGTATGCCGCAGACCTGCCGCAGATCTGCTGCTGATCTGCGGCGGGTCTGCGGCATACTGCAAATTAAGTCTGCGGCAAAGAGAATATCGAAGTATGCGGCAGAAAGAAATTTTACTGCAGACTTGGAACAGTCTGCGGCAGATCTGCGGCAGAATGAAACTTTGTTGCAGACTTGCCGCATACCACTATGCCGCAGGAACAGATCTGCGGCAGATCTGCGGCAGAATGAAACTTTGTTGCAGACTTGCCGCATACTAGTATGCGGCAAGGCTATTATATAGGCGGCCATTTTGGAGGACCATGCAACCAATTAACCAAGTATAGTACCATGATGTCGCAGGCTGAGCCCAGCGTGATCTTGTAAATTCTTGTGTTATAGGCACTGTTATTTGTCTTTTTAGCTTCTGTCAAACCAAACAATATGTAATTTGCTTGAAATTCCAACTAATACTGGACACAACATTCAATGGGATGATGCCCGTATTATTAGCTTGAAACGCACTTTTGGTCAAGAAGAACCATCTGCATAAAAATGATTAATCCTTAATTGAATAGGGATTCTAGCTATACATTGCTATATCTTTCTTTGCTCCAGTGATCTCGAGGCAGCAGATCGACAGCAACAAATTGTGTAAATAATAAAAGGTCAACGGGAGTGTTTTTTAAAAGCTTTAACTATACAAAACGCACACTCTCTCCAATATTATACAACAAAAGGTTGTATTGGGAACCACTTCATGGATGGGGGACATGGGGTCTGTATTAGGGCCCCTGGTGGGTTGCAGGGACAGTGCCCCAGCCAGGGATCCAGGAGTCTGAGCCCCCGGAAGCTCTCGAGTTTTGGCAATTCAGAACATAAACAATATTCTAGATAGCCGTCGTCAACGATAAAAACTCTAACCCATCCCTTGAAATGTTAATTGAACTGCCCCTATTGTGTTAAAAAAGCCATTTGATCTCATATACTGGACACAACATGCAATGGGCTGAAGCCCGTATTATTAGGCTTGAAACGCGCTTCTGGTCAAGAATGGAAGAAGAACGATCTGCATAAAAAGGATTATTATCTTTCTTCGCTCCAATGATCTCAAGGCAGCAGACAGCAAGAAATTGTGTACATAATAAAAGGTAAACGGGAGTGTTTTTGAAAAGGACATTTTGGTAACACGCATGGGGTCCGTCCGTTCTCGGAGTGGGGGGCCGGGGGATAAACAGATGAAGGGAATGGTGGGTTGATAGATAAATGGACGGATGAATGAAACGATGGATGGATGGATGGATGGATGGATGGATGGAGGGGTGGGTTGATGGACAGATAGTTGGATAAAAAGGTAGATGAATGAGTGGATTGAGGGTTGGGAGGGTGCATAATAATGAACGGATGGATGGACAGATGGGTGGGTGAATGGATGGGTCGATATAGACGGATGGATGTTTTCAATGTCTTTGCGATTGTGTAGGATACAGACATTGCATAGGACAATGACCATGACAATAAGGTTCATCACAACAACACCGAGGGTAATAGACCCTCTTAAATATCCACTGTTATCCCTGCACATGAAGAATAACATCGTCTTAATACGACCCCAGTTCTCTCAGAAACACCCAACGTAACTTTTATCATCGAAGATTTCTATTCTCAGTATAACCCGGGGTGGTGTTTGAAGCACCTTTTTTTTTTGCACTACATGTATTTCATTTCATTTGTAGAATACAATCGCTATTCTGAGAATTCTTTATATCAGATTTTAAAAATCAGAAAACATGCCCCCTTTATTTACGTAATGTCAGGGGTATAATTTTGTTTGTCGCAGGCTGAGCCCAGCGTGATCTTGTAAATTCCTGTGTTATAGGCACTGTTATTTGTCTTTTTAGCTTCTGTCAAACCAAACACTATGTAATTTGCTTCAAGTTCCAACCAATACTGGACACAACATTCAATGGGATGATGCCCGTATTATTAGCTTGAAACGCACTTTTGGTCAAGAAGAACCATCTGCATAAAAATGACTAATCCTTAATTGAATAGGGATTCTAGCTATACATTGCTATATCTTTCTTTGCTCCAGTGATCTCAAGGCAGCAGATCGACAGCAGCAAATTGTGTAAAGAATTGTAAAGAGCAGTAAATTGTGAAGAAGAAGAAAGCACAATTTGTGGTCGCCAAAGGCAGCGCAGTTAAGCTATTAACAGTACCGGTACTTCCGTATATTTCATTTCCCGTTGTTGTCATACATAATTATTCCCGATCCTGTTCGACTTAGGGTGCGTTTAATCGACACTTTTTCACCCTAGAATCACGGTTTCTAAAGACGTTTAGTTTAAAACGCAATGCGTTCAAGCGATTTTTTCGTCGGTCGTAAAAATAAACGTCTTTGAAAACACAAACATGAAACGCTGAAAAAGATGCGTTTTGAATCATGATTCTGCAGAATCACGGTCGCTAAAATTCGATTGAACGGACGGAGTTTTCAATCATGATTGTATGACGGAGCCTGTTCCGGTTTGGGCAAAAACCGCGCGCCTGCTTTTCATGCAATTTGCGTTTACTATACCATGCTCTTTATCGTGGCCTGTTCCGTTATGTTATACCTTGTTTTCCTTCTATCTTTTTCTCTTTCTGTCTTTCCTTATGTTATTCTTTGTTTCTTCCTTCTATTCTTATGTTATTCTTTGTTTTTTTCTTCTATCACCTTCTCTTATGTTATTCTTTATTTTTATATTTCTATCACTTTTCTTTTGTTATTCTTTGTTTCTTCCTTCTATTTTTATGTTAATCTTTGTTCTTTTCCTTCTCTCAGCCTTTCTTATGTAATTCTTTGTTTTTATAATTCTATCACTTTCTCGTTTGTTATTCTTTGTTTCTTCTTTCTATTCTTATGTTAATCTTTGGTTTTCCCTTCACTCACTTCTCTTATGTTATTCTTTGTTTTTATCATTCTATCACTTTCTATTTCTGTCTTTCCTTATGTTATTCTTTGTTTCTTCCTTGTATCACATTCTCTTTTTGTCTTTCATTATGTTATTCTTTGTTTCTTCCTTTGATTCTTATGTTATTCTTTGTTTTTTCCTTCTATCACCTTCTCTTATGTTATTCTTTGTTGTTATAATTCTGTCACTTTCTCTTATGTTATTCCTTGTTTCAATCATTCTATCACTTTCTCTTTCTGTCTTTCATTATGTTATTCTTTGTTTCTTCCTTTTATTCTTATGTTATTCTTTGTTTTTTCCTTCTATCACCTTCTCTTTTTTAATTCTTTGTTGTTATAATTCTGTCACTTTCTCTTATGTTATTCCTTGTTTCAATCATCCTATCACTTTCTCTTTCTGTCTTTCATTATGTTATTCTTTGTTTCTTCCTTTTATTCTTATGTTATTCTTTGTTTTTTCCTTCTATCACCTTCTCTTTTTTAATTCTTTGTTGTTATAATTCTGTCACTTTCTCTTATGTTATTCTTTGTTTCAATCATTCTATCACTTTCTCTTTCTGTCTTTCCTTATGTTATTCTTTGTTTCTTCCTTGTATCACATTCTCTTTTTGTCTTTCATTATGTTATTCTTTGTTTCTTCCTTTTATTTTTATGTTATTCTTCGTTATTTCCTTCTATCACCTTCTCTTATGTTATTCTTTGTTGTTATAATTATATTACTTTCTCTTATGTTATTCTTTGTTTCAATCATTCTATCACTTTCTCTTTCTGTCTTTCCTAATGTTATTCTTTGTTTCTTCCTTGTATCACATTCTCTTTTTGTCTTTCATTATGTTATTCTTTGTTTCTTCCTTGTATTCTTATGTTATTCTTTGTTTTTTCCTTATATCACCTTCTCTTATGTTATTCTTTGTTGTTATAATTCTATCACTTTCTCTTATGTTATTCTTTGTTTCAATCATTCTATCACTTTCTCTTTCTGTCTTTCCTTATGTTATTCCTTGTTTCTTCCTTCTATTCTTATGTTATTCTTTGTTTTTTTTCCTTCTATCACCTTCTTTTATTTTATTCTTTATTTTTATAATTCTATCACTTTCTCTTTTGTTATTCTTTGTTTCTTCCTTCTATTCTTATGTTAATCTTTGTTCTTTTCCTTCTCTCAGCCTTTCTTATGTAATTATTTGTTTTAATAACTCTATCACTTTCTCTTTCTGTCTTTCCTTATGTTATCTTAGTTTCTTCCTTCTATCACTTTCTCTTTTTGTCTTTCATAATGTTATTCTTTGTTTTTATAATTATTCTATCACTTTCTCTTTTGTTATTGTTTGTTTCTTCCTTCTATTCTTATGTTATTCTTTGTTTTTTTTACTTCTACCACCTTTTCTTATGTAATTCTTTGTTTTAAGCATTCTATCACTTTCTCTTTCTGCCTTTCCTTATGTTATTTTTTGTTTCTTCCTTCCATCACCTTCTCATTCTTTGTTTTATTATTGCGATCTATGCTCAAAACAGCAGTCGACAGTCGGCCGTAAACAATTCCAAAAAGCGCGCGCCGAAGTTGACCTTTACTTCCTGGGTCAAACTGCAAGTGTGATCCGCAGTGGCTGGGCTCGAAATGAGCTAGAATCAGCGTTGATAAAAAATCGCTTGAACGCTAACCGCAGTGACCTTGTTGTTTGTAATGGCGTTTTGATTTGTGATTCATGTTTGTGATTCTAGCTTCGAAAATTCGATTGAACGCACCCTTAAACTTTATTAAAAATGTCGGCAATCGTACTATACATTACTTCAGTGAATCCCAGCCAGGAGGTAAGTAATCTGATTAATTTAATGTGGTTTTCTTGAGGCTTATTCTACTGTGATAAAATTTAGTGTGCCCTAAACATGCTAGATATACCAGCTGCGCGGCAGCTCAATTGTTAAAAGGGGTGCGGTCGTATTGGCTTCGGACCTCGACCAACAGCAGGCTAGCCTAGGCCTATAGCCTCCCCAAAGAGTACGGTTAATGCCGTAGTCCGCGCCACTGCTTATGAAATACAACGTAGACTAGCTTCTTGGGGGTGTGTTTCAAGAACTGTCTAGGCCTATTTGTTATTATTTTTTGCATTTTAAAAGTTATTATTCAGCATGAAAACACCTGACAGATTTGGCCAAACTTCAAACCCCTAATATGGCTAATTGGCCTAGATCTAGATCTAAATAGTAAATACCAACCGCATAGCTAGGATTTTATTTCGGGGGGGGGGGGGGGGGAGGCAGTAGTAAGCAGTAGTACAAAACTCAACTGATTTCACTCAAAATCTCAAATTCACATGGTTTGTTGAAGATTGTCTTCTTCTTCAATTTGCTTCTGTAAAGTAAGATTTGCTAGATCACATACAGTATGTACTTTCTAAGAACTAAACTGCTAACGAACTATTATTGTTGCTGTTGTTGTTGTTATGTTTATTATTATTATTATGGTGATTATTATTATTATCATTATTATTAATGTTGTTGCAATTTGCAGACCAAGAAAAACCATCAGAAGATTAAAATGATCTTAGATAGAAAGAAGATTAAGTGTGAGGATATAGACATTGCACAGTCGACGGACGCTAAGCAGAAGATGAGGGATATAGTTGGTGATCCAAAAGCCCTTCCACCTCAGATCTGTAATGGAGAAACCTATTGTGGGGTGAGTGTAATAATTGTTGTATGACTCTTGCTCTTGCAACAACCGTGTGAATTTTAACAGTTTTTGGAGTCTAATTGTTTACTTGTAGAGGTGTCGTGGTCGAGTGGATATGTCACCAGACTGTGGATTACAATGTCCACAGTTCAAGTCCCGCCGCGGCACTAATGTCCTTTGGCACCAATGTCCTTTGGCAAGACATTACTCTATATTTGCCACACTCGACCCAGGTGAGGTACATGTAAATGGGTACCTGGTAGGATTATTCCTTGAAATGCACTGTGCGCTAATTACGGCTGCCGGAACTAAAGCTAGTGCAATAATTTCCAAACCTCTTTGGAAGCGCATAGAGACGTTATATATTGTGATAATGCGCTATATATACAAGAACCAAATAGTATTATTATTATTAATTACTAAAAGATCCAACCTTTATAGTGCACAACAGTAGAGGAAAGCATAAAAATCTGAGAAGTACACTGGTGAAAGTTTAAATGAAATTGGACAAAAATTGAGAAAGTTATGAATTTTTGAAAGTTTTTTTTCACTATACACATTATGTAAGTATGTTTTCTTGAAAGGATGCGTTGAGAACGGAGTACCGTCTTAACACACCCTGTCGGGATAAGCGAGGGGGGGGGGGGGGGTGTTTTCTCGAAAGAGTGCGTCGACTAGTCTTTCACATCAGTCGTTTAAAATGTTAAAGGAATAGAAATGTCGTGTTATAAATTGAAATAATCCAAATTGAAACTACTTTTTACGTAGTCTTGCATAATTAACTTACCGGTAAATATTTTTTTAAATGTCAAATATAGGTGTTTAGCTAGTCTTGCATATCAGTTGTTTATTTATTTATTTAAATAAAATATAATATCCCTTTCTTTTTTTGTATTGGAATTTCATTTTTTAAATGATAACTAGTCTTGCATAACAGTCGTTAAATTACAAATAAACATTAATTGCCATTTTACTTAATCAGACACACGATTATGTACTCATTAAGTCTTACTGAAAAACTGTAGGAGGGCACATTTTTTTTTTGTCATGTTTTTTTAAACATTTTGCCAAAACAAATTGAAATTATCTTTTAATGTCGATATATACCATCTGAAAAATGTATTCACCGGCATATTTGCCATCTATAATGGTTATCACATCCACACAAATTTAAATTTAAGGAAAGTCACATTTTTTTCACATAATATGCCCTTCTTTAGTTCAAAATAAATATTTAAGTTAATTATTTCATTGTGTTTCTTTTTATTAACTGATTTAATTCTTATACACTGTAAGTGCCTGATCTGCAAGACTACGAAAAAAGTTGTTTCAATTTTGATAATTTCAATTTATAAAACGACATTTCTATTCCTTTAACATTTTAAAAGACTGATGTGAAAGACAAGTCGATGCACCCTTTCGAGAAAGCCCCCCCCCCCCCCCGCTTATCCCAAAAGGGTGTGTTAAGCGGGTACTCCATTCTCAACGCACCCTTTCAAGAAAAGCGGGGGGGGGGGGGGGGTTTCTCGAATGGGTGCATTCACCTCACCACACCGCGCCGCGCCGCGCCGCACCGCAACGCACCCATTCGATGTAAGCTGTCCCACCCTGTATCGCATGAGTGGCTTAATTTCCATGGCTGTTTTGGCAAGGTTTTATGTGAATTTATGACTGCACCATTTCAATCAGCGCTCAAAATACACGGGGGCGGTGGGCGATTCGCCCCCGTCAGGTTGCTCACGGGGGCGATTGCAAAATTAAAAATCGCCCCCGTGGAATCATAAAATAAAGATTATCTTGTCTGTTATAACTTTAACACAATATTGAGTTTCAATTTTCAAACCTTAAACCAATGAAATGGAACTTAGATTAGCGTGCAAGATTTCTCGTTTTATGAGTAGGCCTCATTTATTACCGATTCAGCTCGCAGTGCAGTGCCGCCGTCAGCAGTGGTTATAGGCCTACTGCGCCGTTAGAAACGGTACGTATGCACGCTGCCGCGCCATGTCTGCTGGAGCTGGAGGCGATCGCGCAAGGCAGAAACATGGTCATGGAGAAGTTTTTCGTTGTGAAAGCGTAAACCCGCTGAAATCTGGTGATTTCAAATGACCAGCAAATAATGAACCTCGACCAGTAAATCAATATTAGGGACTTTTAGATTTGCACGATGAGAACGTGGACTGCAACGTGTGACCTCCTTTTAAGGCACTGCCAGTGCTTAAAAGGACGTCACATGTGACTGCCAGTGCCTTAAAAGGACGTAACACGTCCACGTCCACGCAAATCTAAAGGTCCCTATTGAGAAGAAGAGGAAGACCAAGATGTCGTGGAATGATATGGTAACATGGGCAAATCTACGGGGGTGAGTAAGGGGGTTTAACCCCCTCCCCCCCCCCCCGGCCCCCTTGGGCTGCCAAGTGAAAATGTGATATTAAAGCGGGAGGGGGGGGGGGGTGCTGCATGGAGAGGAGGACTAGTACTAATCTATTTTTTTCAGGGGGGGGGGGGGGAGTGAAGCGCCGTTTTAGCATGGCTTTCTTTTTAACTCTTACTTTCACCTATCTCAGATAACCGTAAGTTTTTGGTTGCTGCTTTTATTATGTAGTTGATATAATGCATGATTAAATAATAATAATAATAATAATATTGGCATTTATATAGCGCTCTTACAGACATCACAGCGCTTTACAACAGTACATTACTTAATTGACATTGATAGCAAACAATAAAATTACGTACACAAAAATATATAAATTCAACTATTAAAGAGAAAGGTTTTCAAGGAACGTTGAAAGATAGCGAGAGAAGGAGAAGATCGTACAGCCTGAGGGAGATTGTTCCAGAGATAAAGAGAGAGAGAGAGAGAGAAAGAGAACCACCATCATTTTGCAATGGTTCAGGGTTTGTGTAATGTACATTTGAAACCATTTCTTAGCGCCTCAACCCTAAAAAAATAGCAAAACTATTTTTGAGGAAAAGCATTATACTGAATTAAATAAAGAATAATAGCTTTATATTGGATCATACTAATACTGATACGGGCTAAAGACAATGTGGTATTTGTATAGAGGTATTCCAAAATGACATTCTGATAATCAACATTTGTTCTGGTATCATTATGTATATACGCATAATACAACTGATCTTTATGATTTCTTAACGTGACATAGCTTCTTCTCCCCTGCAAACGAAAAAGAAAACAAGGTTATATAATAAAAGGATTATGCGACAAATAATCATTGTGATTCAAATCGTGCAAGGATTTTTTTTGAATAAGCAATGCTTTTCACCAGAATCTTCTTTGTAAAAACGACTTTTACAAATCTCAGCCATGCAAATCTGACACTGTGTTGTAAGATCACTTTCAGATTCGGAGAAGTGTATTCTTTGATGAGTATTTTAAATTGAATGGAACGTCTCAACTCAGTAAGCATGGCTGAGATTTGTAAAAGTTGTTTTTACAATGAAGATTCGGGTGAATAGCAGTGCTTATTCAAACAAATATTCGCATCAATTTGAATCACAATCATTATTTGTCGCTTAATCTCTTTTAATGACCTTGTTTTCTTTCTCGTTTGCAAGGGGAGAAGAAGATATGTCACGTTAAAGACATCATAAAGATCAGTGTTGTACGCGTATATATTATTAGTCCAGCCTCTGTACCGTTTTCGTTTAGCGCACCCAATCAGCTGATAAAATAACACACCCTCAACGTTGAAAGTAGACCTAGCCATTCCTCTAAATCTGGGTCCTGAATTCGTGTGGACGGAAATTTGGGGATTGCGCGATCAGTGGAGAGACCGCGATGTGTGTGGGGGATAAAAAAAAACGAACGGACTGAATCTGGACTAATATATTATATACACAGGCCCCGCGGAACGTTTATCAAAGTGGGGGGCTAAAGTATTTACGATCAGGTAGAGGGTAGCGAGCGTAAATTGGTGTGTGTGTGTGTGTGTGTGGGGGGGGGGGGGGGGGGTTCAGGGGTCTTAGGCATTTAATTACGGTCAGAGAAGCACAAATATTTTGATGCCGCATTTGTGTCACTGGCAGGTCAGGGGGGGGGGGGGGGGGTGGGGCTTTTTTCTTCTTTTTTCTTAAGGTAAAAGGTTACTATCCTATTTTTTTTTACCGGTTTGGGAGGCTGGGGGGGGGGCGGGCCGGTAGAATCGGCCCGTGGATCCGCGCCTGTCCAAAAAAGCACACACACAAAATCGCCTCGCCGCTACGCGGCTCAGTAAAGAAAGAATGTAAAGGTTGCTCCGAATAATGAGGAGAAAATAATGTGCAGAACGGGAAAAAATCGAGAGAATGTCATCAGGACTGGTGATGAAAGTCAGTATTAACAGCTATGTAGCTTGTAAATTTGTAAGAGGGAAAATGCTGATTAAAATGATGATGATGAAATAGCAAATAATTGAGGAGTATCATAGGTACCAATTCAATGGATATTTGTATATTGGATATTTGTATAAAAAAGAACCCCCGTCAGTACTAAAAGAGCCCCCGTGAGAATGCTCACGGGGGCTCTTTTTCGGGGGGAAGAGCCCCCGTGGACAAAAAATTAATTTGAGCCCTGATTTCAATTGATTTCAAACTTGATACAGTAGAGGTAATAGAGGTACGTGTTGTGGTCGAGTGGACACGTCGGCGGACTGTCGCTCACAAGGTCCGCGGTTTGAGTCCTGCCACTGAACTGATGTCCTTTGGCAAGACATTGATCTACATTTGCCATACTCCACTCAGGTGAAGTAAATGGGTACCTGGTACCTGGTAGGAATTTATTCCTTGAAATGCTATAGCGCCGTATGGCAGCCGTGCTAAAGCCAGGGTAATAATCGGGAGCGCCAGGAGGGTCAAATCTGACTGACATGAGCGCTATACAAGAACCCATTATTATTATTATTATTATTATATACAAGCAGTTGCTCCAGGGCTAACATAATTCTCTCTCATTTTTTTCCTTTTGCAGGACTATGCTGCTTTTGATAATGCTGTTGAAGCAGAGGACATCGAAAGTTTCCTGAAACTGAAGTGATTCCCAAACTACCTTCCTTAAACTACATTTGGCCCTCTTCATAATTGACTAGGTCATGAAAGAAACAACAAATAATAGTGCAAGTTTTATCTTTTGGAATTTTTCTATCTTGTTTTATATTTGCTAGTTGAGGTGGTGAGTGATTGCTTTGGTTTGTTGGGGTTTTTGTTGTTGGAAGTATAGAGATGTTAGTTATTAAGGTCTAGTTGCCATTTTTTTATTCTTCATTCAATCTAAGCAAAATGTGATATGGGGTGTATCGCATAGGACATTTTGCAGACATGCATTTCAGTAATCAACGCGACAAATTCAGTTAGCTCATAAGCTATTAAAATAATATACCAAACCCTACTATGATATCTTTCAGAGTGAGTCAGTTGAACTGCCTAATGGTCAAACTTTTGTTTAATTTGCTGTATGCCCAGGGATATGTGAGTTTAACTCACATATCCCTGGTATGCCAATGTACCTACAATGTCTTCAATTAATGTTCTAATGTGGCTCGTGTTCTTTTATTATATTCATAAAAAATATGAAGTATAAGAGGGCCGTCGCTGCTCAATAATTAGGGACTTTTAGGTTCGCACGAAGACAATAGGTCTATGCTACGATCGACGTCCTTTTAAAGCACTGCCGTGAATGGAAGTACCACGTATCAGTCCACGCAAATCTAAAAGTCCCTAATACCCTTGTGTGTTTTTACGAGCCATGCAGGAATGCATTCAAATTCCAGGCAATAGTCACGTCGTCTCTTTGGAGCCAGAATAGCTTTAATTCATATACTTTAACACAGAGTCAACGTCCCTCTGGCTCCGAACATACAATAGATGGAGTCTCGTTATAGAAAGGAATGTAAGGGTATGGATGCATGTCGATCTACACACACACATATGAAATGCATGCATACAATAGTTCATAAATAGTCCTAAAATTTCCTAGAGTTTAACCATTGCACCTTTTGAAAAACAAAACTTATAATAATTTTATATTGAAATGTATTGATATATCCTGCTTAGATTTAGACTAATTTGGTTCATTTTGTATGATGGGATGTTGGGGTTGTATTAATTTTCTAAGAAATGAACGTTTAAATGATGTTGGTACACAAGTATTACTGTAAATTCTTCATTCAAAAACATGGTACATCCTGTTTTATACGCAATCAACAGTATCTTATTATGTGCTCTAAGCATTCCAGTACTCTTAATGCACCTCAAGTTACAAGCAGTATGCAAACTGAAGTTGGTAATGGTAATAAGCTGTTCACACTTCACACATGATGATAGCGAGTATACAAGAGGACCAACATGGCATTACAAGTTTATCAGTTGTATCTCAATAGTCCTTTTAACTAATTAGTTCAGTTATATGGACTTTTCTTCCAAGGACCCGTGATGACACGTAATTTCTTTCGCTTAATGGTTTTTAATTTGTGATATCATCTGTAATCTTGAATCTACCTTGCATTCATCATATTGTTTACTTGAAGCCAGTAGGAGGCCTTTACTCATATATGGATTTGCAGAGTGAATGCCCTTCTGGCTTCAAAGAGACAGTATAGTGAAATGTCAGGAAACTCTCTGGCAAAGATTACTTGTCATTAAGAGCAATTTACAACAAAGAAATATGCATACAAATTAAATACATCGGCTAATTGCCACTGGTGTTTTGAGAACATTTTGTCCTTCTAGTACACCAAAACAATTGATCAATTGATATTACAAAAGTTTATATGTTGAATCGGTTACTTCCGGGATTATAAATCAAGAGATTTCTCATAGATTGGCCTTTGTCCTTTACGAACAATTCATAAAGTGTGTTTTGGGGGGTCCTATGTAACATTCCAGTATTTGTAAACTGTGTATTGTTTTCTATTTTATTCCTTATTTCCTTATGTTTTTGTTCTTTGCTGATACCATGAAGGCGCTTGCTAATTCAAAGATTATGTTCCATTTGTGCAGATTTATATAGTTATATGGATTGTCTTTGTGTTTTTCTTTGCTTTTCTTACTTATTCCTGTTACTTTTACATATGTAAAATGAGCACAGTTTCGAGGAAAAAAATCACAGTAATATACAACCAAAAAATATTTTGTGCGAGAGTATATTCATTTGCAGTGTAATTGTAATATATATGGAATATTTGGAAGGAATTAGATGCCTTTACCGATAGAAAGTATGCGCAGCTCAGCTGGAGATACAGGAAATATTTTTATTTCAAAATGCATCTTCATAGAGAAATTCTTACTAGGTGGTGCTTTGATATTTTGTGTCGTTTTATTATTATTGATGATTGTGTACAATTCATTTTATGATGCGACTTTTCCAAGTTTTTGTTAAAATGTATTAAATACGGTTATTTCAATTGCGTCTTGAAATATGTTCCTAGTTGACCTACATTAATATGTCAACAGCAGATATAATAGTAAAAATATAATAAATGATTTACTTATGACAAATATTACAGACAAAATTGTTACATTGATCATAAATCTTGAAGTGCTCTTTCGCATCACACAATTAAAAGAGAAGAATATCTTGGCTGTACCACGTATACACATTTTGAATAGAGTCATTTTATTAGTTATTATGTGATTGTTTGTGCAGCATGCATGCGCTGTTTGTTATATTGTATTGATTTGTCCACATCATTATAGATTGAATGGATGGGAATAAAACATTGCCGATGTCTACATAATCATTCATTTTCACGGATGGATGAAGGGATGGATGGATGGATGAATGAATGGATGGATGGGTGGATGGGTGGGTGGATGGATGGATGGATGGATGGATGGATGGATGGATGGATGGGTGGATGGATGGACGGAAAGATGTGTGGATGGATGGATGGACGGGTGGATGGATGGATGGATGGATGGATGGGTGGATGGGTGGATGGATGGGTGGATGGGTGGATGGATGGATGGATGGATGGACGGAAAGGATGGGTGGATGGATGGATGGATGGACGGCTGGATGGATTGATGGATGGATGGGTGGATGGGTGGATGGATGGGTGGATGGGTGGATGGATGGATGGATGGGTGGATGGATGGATGGATGGGTGGATGGATGGATGGATGGACGGAAAGATGTGTGGATGGATGGATGGATGGATGGGCGGATGGATGGGTGGATGGATGGATGGATGGATGGATGGGCGGGTGGATGGATGGATGGGTGGATGGGTGGATGGATGGATGGATGGGTGGATGGATGGATGGATGGATGGACGGAAAGATGTGTGGATGGATGGATGGATGGATAGGTGGATGGGTGGATGGGTGGATGGATGGGTGGATGGGTGGATGGATGGATGGATGGATGGATGGGCGGGTGGATGGATGGATGGATGGATGGATGGATGGGTGGATGGATGGATGGATGGGTGGATGAATGGATGGATGGATGGACGGAAAGGATGGGTGGATGGGTGGATGGGTGGATGGGTGGATGGGTGGATGGATGGATGGATGGATGGGTAGGTGGATGGGTGGATGGATGGATGGATGGGTGGATGGATGGATGGATGGATGGACGGAAAGATGTGTGGATGGATGGATGGGTGGATGGGTGGATGGATGGATGGATGGATGGGTGGATGGGTGGATGGATGGGTGGATGGGTGGATGGATGGATGGATGGGTGGATGGATGCATGGATGGATGGACGGAAAGGATGGGTGGATGGATGGATGGACGGGTGGATGGATGGATGGATGGATGGACGGAAAGATGTGCGGATGGATGGATGGATGGATGGGCGGATGGATGGGTGGATGGATGGATGGATGGATGGATGGGCGGGTGGATGGATGGGTGGATGGATGGATGGATGGGTGGATGGATGGATGGATGGGTGGATGGGTGGATGGGTGGATGGATGGACGGAAAGATGGATGGATGGATGGATTGATGGACGGATGGATTGATGGATGGATGGGCGGATGGATGGGTGGATGGAT